AAAGGAAGAGAAAAAGAGAGATAGAGACAGAAGAAAAAAATAAATAAGAAAAAAAGACAAAAGGAGAGAAGAGAGAGAGAGAGAGAGAGAGAGAGACGAGAGAGAGAGAGAGAGAGAGAGAGAGAGAGAGAGAGAGAGAGAGAGAGAGAGAGAGAGAGAGAGAGAGAGAGAGAGAGAGAGAGAGAGAGAGAGAGAGAGAGCAGAGAGAGAGAGAGAGATGAGAGAGAGAGAGAGACGAGAGAGAGAGAGAGAGAGAAGAAGAGAGAGAAAGATTCAGTGCTTGAATGCAGCAATGAAGTATTGTGTAGCATATATATTTTAAAATGAATGAGTGATGGTATAGCCATTGTTGTTTGTGGTTAGTGGAGGTAGTGACAGTGGCTGTAGAAGTAGTAATGGTAGTAATAGTAATGATAGTAGTAGTAGTAGTAATGGTAGTAATATTGTGGTAGTAGTAGTAATTGTAGTAGTAGTAGTAATGTAGTTATTGTAGTAGTAATAGTAAGGTAGTATCATAGTAGTAGTAGTAGTAGTAATAATCATAGTAGTAGTAGCAGTAGTAGTAATTGTAGTAGTAGTAGTAGTAATTGTAGTAGTAGTAGTAGTAGTAATCGCAGTAGTACTAGCAGTGGTAATAGTAGTAGTAGTAGTAATAGTAACAGTAGTAGTAGTAGTAGTAGTAGTAAGTAGTATAGTAGTAGTAGTAGTAGTAGTAGTAGTAGTAGTAGTAGCGGTAGTAGTAGCAATAGTATAGGTATTAGCATTAGCACTAGTATATAGTTTTTGTATTGGTGCTGGTATTAACACTAGTATCAGTACCAGTAATAGTAGTATTATCATTATCATCTATATGATTATGATTATCAGTATTATCATTGTGACTATCATCTTCATCTTAATCATTTTTATTTGTAGTAATACTTGTAGTAATCTTTGTTAGAATATTTGTTTTATATCCTTGTAGAATTCAAAAACTTTTTAAAAATAATTTTGTTATATTAATTTCTTAATCTACTTTCCGTTTAATGTTTATAAAGCAGTTTTTTATTGACTTTTGTGTTGGCAAGTCTTTTTTATTTTGTCATTTTATACATCTATTGTCATTTTCTTGACATTACTCTATTCATTGAAAAGTATATACATTTTATTTTTACTTTCATTTTTTTTTATCCGTATATATTTTATTCATATTTTTTTTTCTTTTTTGTCCATATATATTTTATTTCATTTTATTTTTAATCCATGTATTTTTCTCTTTTTCTTTTTCAAATATCTTTATGAATAAAGGGTCATTTTTTCATTTATATTTTTTTCTTTTCATCATCCATTTATATTTTCCTTTTCGTCCATATATATTTCATTTTATCTCATTTTTAATCCATATATTTTTTAGTCTTTTTAATTTTTTATATTTGATTTTATTTCATTTTCAATCTATATTTTTTCTTTTTCATTTTTTTTATATTTGATTTTATTTCATTTTTAATCTATATCTTTTTTCTTTTTCTTTTTCATTTTTTTTTCAAAGTTGTGGGGAGGTCAAAACAGAAAAAACAGAAAAAGTTTCAAGTCTCTTTTCGATTTATTTATTTACAAAAATACGTCTTTATCATCCAACACAAAAAGGTAATCAATTCCCAGATGCCACCATTAGCTACCTCAAATCGAGCTTGTTTTCGTGCCACGCCGAGTCACACTCTACGAAAATGCATTTGTTTTCTCTCAAAAAATAAAAAAAGAGAGAGAAAAAAATTGTTTTCTCTCAAAAAATCAAAAGAGAGAAAAAAATTGTTTTCTCTCAAAAAATCAAGAGAAAAAAAAATTGTTTTCTCTCAAAAAATCAAAAGAGAGAAAAAAAATTGTTTTCTCTCAAAAAATCAAGAGAGAGAAAAATTGTTTTCTCTCAAAAAAAAAAGAGAGAGAGTGAAAAAAGAAAGATTAAGATCACAATTCCAGAGGATTTTTGAAAACAATAATAAAAAAAGGGGGAAAGTTATCGTTAAAAAAAAGAAAAAAAAAAAGCAATACCAAAATTGATTTTGGGGGGGGGGGAGATTTCAACTTTTTTTATTTGCATTTTCGTGGTCCGGGAGTCGGCGCGGCCAGACAGGCTCTTACAAAAAAAAAAAAAAGAAAAAAAAAAAAAAAAAAAAAAAAGTTACTTTCCAAGCAACATTTTTCTTTTTCGTGGCCAAAAACATTTTTTGGATACAAGGAATATTCACATGGGTAAAGAGGCCACACACTCACTCATCCACTCGCTCTCTTTCTCTCTCTCACTCTCTCTTTCTCTCTCCCTCTCATTCACGTTCTCTTCTCATCCACTCTCTTCTCTCTCTCTCTCTGTGAGGGTGACAATACCTATACAAGTCTGTTATTTATAATTATTATTATTTTTTTTACATTTTTTTTACAAAAAGTCTGTAAACAAACACAAAAAAAGACACAAAGTGATCATTCTCCACTGTTTCTTCTTCGTTTCCTGTTTTCCTTCTCTCTCTCTCTCTCTCTCTTTCTTTCTGTTACCTTTTTAACTCTCACAATTTTACAACATGAAGTTTTCGGTCTTTTTAAATATATTTATATATAGATATATTCACTTTGGAAATAATGACAACAAAGCACATTATGTTCAAAGATAAAGAAAGTTTTTTTTTTTTTTTTTCTTTTTTTTTTTTTACTTGGGTGGGTTTAATTACCATCAAGAAAATCTGTACAAAAATTATAAGTCGAAAAAAAAATATGAATCGTCTTAAAATGAAAAAAAAAAAGGATTCGTCCTTGACACAATTACAGCAAAAATTTCTTATTGCAAAAAGCCCTTATTTTGTCGTCTAAAAACTTGATTAAAAAAAAAAAAAAAAAATGTTCACTGTCCTACAAAAAGAAAGTTGGGAGGGGGGGGCGAGACGGGCACAGAGACTACAAAATCAAAAATCCATAAACATCCTATTTTATTCCCTCTTTGCAACACTATCGATAGAAAAATAAATAAATACAAAAAACACACACCCTTTACACGAATACATGAAACGTTCGGACTGATTTCGAAAAGAGGGAATAATATCTTTACGACAAAAAAAAAAAAAAAAAAAAAAAAAAAATAGTCCATCCTTAAATATTCTTCTTCAAAAAAAAAAAAAAAAAAATAAAAAAAAAAAAAAGCACAGTAAAAGATTTAATACACAAATGTCTCAAAAAAGTTGCATCCATATATCAATATAAAAAAAGGAGCCAGGGGGGAGGGAGGAGGGGGTTTGAAATATCTTAAAGACCATCAAAACTTGACATCGAAATAGTCGGTAACGAAACATCTAAAAAAAACACAAAACATACATATATAAAAGTGAGAGAAAAAAAATAATAATATAAATAAAAATAAGTTATAAATTACCAAATAACATACATACACAAAAACACATGAACACAACACGCTACACAACAACCACGGCCGGGAAATAAAGGAGACAGAAAAGGCAGAGAGAAAAAAACAAAAATAACAATCGTAAAAATAAATTAATTCAAGTTTCTTTCTATTTAAAAAAAAAAAAAAATCTGTCACTGCTCTTGAAATCCACCTACAAGAAATACAACTATAACAGGAGATGCAATGATGAAGAAAACCGAGAAAAAGAAAAATAACTAAGAATACACGAACGCGGCAGGGGCAGGCGGCGGCGGCCATCTTGGTACACCCAAAACCCAAACCTGCGCGCCGTTTTTCTGGTTGACATGCGGATTAATGACGCCAGTGATGACGTCACGTATACACAAGAGGACAGAGGCGCTGTCAAATAATCTGTGTTTTGTTCACTGAACTTTGAACGTTTCGACGAAATTACGAAGTGCCAATATAACAAATTAAGAGTAATAATGCCAATAAATGTCATACAATTCAGAATTAACAATAAGATCTTTTTTTAAATCGAAATAGGTCATCTATGCAGTTGAAGAACAAATTATCATCATTAGGAGAGAAAAAAAAAGTTAAAAATAAGAAAGAATAATCCATTAAGAGTCGGCAAAGTCCTGGATCAACCCAAGTCCCGCTCTCACTGCACACAACTCTCACAAGGAAATGTATAATAAATAAATAAATAAATAAAGCAATGTACAAATTAAGTCAAGATTTGGGAAGATTATGAGTGACAAACATGGAGCCAGTTCGAACAAGAGGTTTGTTCAAACTATATATATATATATATATCTTTATTATGATTTAATGTGCGATTATTTTATACACCAATGTTCTGACGATGATCGGATGGCAAATGGAAAGGATTTTTTTTAATTATTATTTATAGGGATGGTTCGGAAACGACGACAGTTTCCGTTTTCTTTGCGGTCGTGGCAGTGGCGAGGGTTCGAGGGGAGACTCCTCCAGGGCCGATGAGAAATTTTATGACAATCTTTGGGATATGCTGTTTCGTGAGGGGAGCGGACACGCGGGGCGGGGTCCAAGCAAATAGTACTACAAACATTTACGTTTTCCACATCATTAAACTTGACTTTTTGATATCATACAGAACTTACACACTTGAGCAATGGCTTATGATCAAATCTGTACACGGGGAGAGAACTTTTTACAATATGTACAAGCTCATATGGATAGTTCAAGCACCAAAATAAATTAAGTCCTTTACATTTTTACAGGGAAAAGTCTGGACTTGTAACATAATAACCTTTGGTTTCCAAGCCTGAAGCTCATTCGTGAGAAGAAAGCCGAGACTGCATTGTTTGGCATTGCGAGAGTGAGGTCGTGGTGGCGCGTGGGCGCGAGCGGCGCCGCCCACACTGCAGCCACCACCACGCTGCAGCTCCTGTCGCCCCGCCCGCACGCCCACGCCGCGGCGGGGCGCTGGCGGGCGAGCCAACAGCGAGTGAGTCAGGGCAGGGGAGGCCCCCTGGCGAGGTTGCAGGCAATAAATAAATGATGCGGCCCAGGGCGGGCCGGGCCGGGCCGCACCATACGTACGGCCGGAGATCCTGAGTACCGCCGGCCGGGACAACACACCTGCGCGGCGGCAGGTGACTGTACAGCGGCGCCGCCTACATTTTACATCCCCAGGATGAGACGCGGGCTTCTCAAGCCCACACTTTGGTATGCGGAGGACCCCGCGCGCCCTCGACGCCCACGAGGAGCGGGGGCCGCTGCCGCCGCCCGGGTCACGCCCACGCGGGCGGGGCGGGAGGGGGCGCCGTCAGGACACGTCGGGGGCGGGGGCGGGGCGGGGGGAGAGAACGCAGGTGCGGGTTACAGCACCACTAGCGGGGGCCGCCATCAAAGCGACTCCTGGGACGACGTGGAGCACTTGTCGAGCGACGCCTGGTCGGGGTGGCGGATCCGCGGCGGCGGCGGGGGCGACAGCCACGGGTGCTGCAGGATGCTGTCCAGCGACGGCCGCTCCGTGGGCCGCACCCGCAGGCACCAGCGCACCAGGTACTGGCACTCCTCGCTCACCGCCGAGCGGAAGTGCACGCGCGCCGCCACGATCTGCTCGTCGTGCTCGAACGGGATGTCGCCGCACACCAGGTCGTAGAGCAGGATGCCCAGCGACCACACGGTGGCCGGCACGCCCTCGTACTGGTTGTAGCGGATCCACTCGGGCGGCGAGTACACGCGCGTGCCGTCGAAGTCCGTGTACGTCTTGTCGGACAGCAGCGCGCCCGACCCGAAGTCGATCAGCTTGAGCACCGGCCGCCCCTTCGAGTCGTACGTCACCAGCAGGTTCTCGTCCTTGATGTCGCGGTGGATGACTCCGGCGGCGTGGCAGTCGCGCACGATGTCCACCACCTGGGGGAGGGAAGGGGGGGGGGTTAGTCGTCACGCAGGCAAGGGAAAGAGACACAGAAAAGACAGACAGAAACATACATCCATAAAACACGCATATATATATACACACACACACACACACACACACACACACAGCAACGACCGGCGCTCACCTGCTTGAAGAGCGACCGCGCCTCCGCCTCCGGGATGACCTTGCGCTCCGTGATGTAGTCGAAGAGGTCCTTGCAGGGCTCGGGCCGCTCGAACACCAGCAGGAAGGAGTCGTCGCGCTCGATCCAGTCCAGGAGCTTGACCACGTTGGCCACGTGGGCCACGCGCAGCAGCAGGGCCACCTCTCTCGGGGCGCGCCGCCCGCCCACCTGCAGGAGAACAGAAGAGAGCGTTGAGTCTACGGGAAACGCCTTTCTATCCACACGTATACTAGGTCTGTGATATGCATAACATAACATACCATAACAAAACATAACATAATATATATTCATATGTATTTATTCATTCGTATACGGTCTGTGATATACATAACACAACATACCATAACACATAACATAATATATATTCATATGTATTCATTCACTCATAATCACACTCATAATTGTCCTTAAATCTACATCTACTACATCATCTCCATCCACACATCTACATACGAGACGCAAAAGGAGCAACCACGAGGTCATTCATCAATCCCTTTAAAACTACGAACCCTCAACGACGCTATTTAAGTGACGTGCCCCGAGCTCTCTGCGTAGCGGTGTTCGGCCAGTGCTCCTGGACCCGCATTCCTGACAAGGCCTTGCTCCCCCCCCCCCTCTCTCCCCCTCTCCCCCTCCCTCTCTCTCTCTCTCTCTCTCCGCCCCTCTCGTCTCGTCTCATCTCATCACACGTCTTCTCTCTCATTCTCTTTTCTTTTCTCTCTCTCTTTTTTCTTTTTCTTTCCTTTTCTCTTTTCTCTCCTCGAAAACAGACAGACAAACAGACAAACAAACACACGCTCTTATCTGGCCATCGCGAGAGCTCTCCCTCAGGCATCGTACCAGGCGGAGAGGAGAACCAGCGGGTCGAGTATGACGTAAAGCAGAGAGGCTGAAGGAAAGGAGAGGAAGAGAGGAGAGGAGAGGGAAGAGGAGAGGAGAGGGAGGAGAAGAGAGAGAGAGGGAGAGGAGGAGAGGGAGAGGGAGAGCGAAGGAGGAGAGGGAGAGGGAAGGAGAGGGAAGGAGAGGGGAAGGAGAGGAGAGGAGAGGAAGGAAGGAGGGTGAAGGAAGGAGGAGGGGAAGACGGGAGGGAATATAGGACTGGGGTAAACAAAACAAAAACACAAAAAAAGAGGTAAAAGAAAAGAGTAAAGTAATTCAGTATACGCAAGAAGGAGGAAGATTATGAAGCAGAGGAAGAGGAAGAGGAGGAAGAGGAGGAGGAGGAGCAACAGCAGCAGCAGGAGGAGGAGGAGGAGGAAGGGGGCGACGCTGCGGTGACTGCGGCTACCGAGTGTCGTGCTTGACTGCTTCTGCTGTCCCCCCCCCCCCTCCAACCACCACCACACCGCCATCGCCATCAAACCAAAACCTCCCACGAAACGCAAGTCGTGCCCCCCCCCCCCCCAAAAAAAAAGAAGGAAAGAAAGAAAAAAAAAAAAAAAGTCCACTCCGAAAATCGACCCCCCCAAAGAAAACAAACAAACAAACACCAAAAATCACCAAGAGCCACCCCTGGGTAGTAAAGACGGGGAGGAGAGGGGAGAGGGGGGGAGGGGAAGTCGGCATTCCTAGGCACTGGCGGACATTGACCACCACTCCGGCCGTCCTTCATGTGGGTGCGGGGTGGGGTGGATAGGGGGTGGATGGGCGTGTGGCAGGGTGGGGTGGTTAGGTGGTGGATGGGGGGTGGATGGGCGGACGGGCGGGCGGACAGGGTGGATGGGAACGAACACGGGAGTCAGAATCAAAATAAATAAATAAATAACAACAATAATACAATAATAAAATAACAAAAACAACAATAATAACAACAAAACAACAATAATAACAACAATAACAAAACAACAATAATAATTGAAAAGTCAGAGAAACGGGAAATGTCTGAAGGAGAAGGGGATTTTGAGACTGCTTGAGGACCAGTAAAGACGATGACGATGACGACGATAATAATAATAATAAAAAAGACCACTAAAGAGGGAAGGAGACGACAACAATAATAAACACACGAGGACTTGCGAGGACGAATGGGAAGGGGGTGGAGGAGGAGGAGGAGGACGAGGAGGGGGGGGGGATGACAGAAAGGCCAAGTCACCATTCAAATCCCAAACGACAACAACAATGACCCGCGGAGACAGACAGACACAAACAAACACCTCGCCTTGGAAACGCGGCCCCCCAAACGAACGCACGAAAACGAACGAGAAAAATACCCCCCCCCCCCCAAATGCCACCCCCCCTCCACTTCCCTCTCTCCCCCTCTAACATCATGGTGACGCAGCCATGCCCGATGCCCCCTTCCATCTCCCCCTCCCCCTTTTCACCCCTTCCCCCCGACCCCCCTCCCCCTTTTCACCCTTCCCCCGACCCCCCCTCCCCCTTTCACCCCTTCCCCGACCCCCCCTCCCTCCCCCCCCCCACCCCCCAGAAGAGCGCACCTGTTATACCTTAAGCCTATTGACGTCCATAGGCCTCCCCAAACCGCATTATTAATACCCGCATCGCCTCTCACGCTTGTTTGCCGTCTGTCCCCCTGTGTCTGTCTGTCTGTCTGTCCGGCGAAAGAACGCAAGGTGTGTGGGGGGGGAAGGCCTCACTGGCACCCCCCTCCACCCTCCCGTCTCTTTCCCTCCTCCCTCCCACCCCTCCCCTTCTCCCTTCCCCCCCGAGGTAATGGCACGGCGAATTCCTCCCAGGGCTTCGGGGATTCCCAAAAATACGAAGCTCCAGACGGCCCTACCTCTCTTCTTCTCTTCTTTTCTTCCTCTCCTCTCCTCCTCCTTCTCCTCTTCTTTTCCTCCTCTCCTCCTCCTCTTCCTGTACCCCATCCCCTAACCCTATCCCCCTCAAAAAAAAAAAATAAATAAATAAATAAATAATAAAAAAAAAACGTGCCCATCCACCTATCCACAGGCCTCTCTCCCTCTCTCCCTCTATCCACCTATCCACAAGCCTCTCCCTCTCTTCCTCTATCCACCCCCAGCGCCGAAACGAACGGAATGCGACCAACCCGACTCGCCCCGCCGCCGTCGGGTTAATCCCTCTCCATCGGGCGACCGGAGCGAACAGATGCCAGGACCTTAGGAGGCCCCTGTGGTCATTCGCCTCAGACACAGACAGACACAGACAGACAGACAGACAAGACAGACAAGACAAGACAGACAAGACAGACAGACACACGCAGAGAGAAAAGACGAACAGACAGATGTAAAGAGAGAGAAAGCCACATACAGACAGACAGACAGAAGCAGAGAGAAAAGACGAACAGACAGACAGATGCAAAGAGAGAGAAAGCCACATAGACAGACAGACAGAAGCAGAGAGAAAACACCGAACAGACAGATGCAAAAGGAAAGAAAAAAGACACGCACACACACAGACAAGACAGGCGCAGAAAAGCCAGACACACCAGACAGACAGACAGAGACGCAGAGAAAGACAGACACAGACAGACACGGACAGGCGCATAACGAAGACCAGCCCACAGCGCACGAGAGGAGAGCCAGAGCAACGAAAACGGCGCAATAACGCAATAAGAAAGAGCGAAAAAGTCATCGCGACAGATGATGGGGGGAGGAGAGGAGGTGGAGGAGGAGGAGGTGGAGGAGGAGGAGGAGGAGGAGGAGGAGTGGGATAAAAGGGGAGGAAGGAGGAGGAGGAGAGAAGGGGGGAGGAGGGATAAGAAGGGGGAGGAAGGGAGGAGGGGGAGGAGGATGAGAAGGGAGGAGGGGAGGAGGAGGGAAGGGTAGACAGAGAGGGGGTGGGGGGGGGGTACAGTCGCATACCAGACAAGGCTAGAAGAATCGGGTTGAGAGGTAGGGTCGGTTGAGGGGAGGGGCAAGGGGTGGGGGTGAGGGGTGGGGGTAGAGGTAGGGTCAGAAGAGGCAAAAGAGAACTTAAAAACTGTAATTTACGAAGAACGGAGATGAAAAAAGAAGAAAAAATAAAGATGGCGGGGTGCGAAAGGAGCATCCGAGAAGAGAGAGAGAGAAAGAGAAAAAAGAGAAGGATTATGAGATGAACAGATGGGAATGAGGGAAGATTCCGACACGCGGGCTGAGAAATGAGGAAACGAAAGGGAGAAGAAGAGGGAGAAGCAGAAAGGAAGAGAGGTAAGAGGCAGAAAAGAGAGGGAGAGGAAAAAGACAGCAAAGAAGAGGGAAGACAGACAAGCCGAGACAAAACCGTGATCTTACACTGGTCACTTCACTCCCCAAACATCCACCCCCACCCCACCCCACCCACCTCCTCCTCCTCTCCCTCATCACCATCTCCGTAACAGGTTGGTATGCGAGACGAAGACGAGGAGGGGGGGGGGAGAGGGGAGGGGGAGGAAAGGAAGGAGGGAGGGAGAGAGGAGGGGAGGAGGAGGGGAGGAGGAGGTCAAAAGCGGCGTTGCTACGTGAACACAAGAGAGAGAGAGAGAGAGAGAGAGAGAGAGAGAGAGAGAGAGAGAGAGAGAGAGAGAGAGAGAGAGAGAGAGAGAGAGAGAGAGAGAGAGAGAGCGAACGCATGCATGTGTGAGTGCGTTCGTGCATCCAGCGAGAGGCACTTCAGGCGAGAGTGAACAACCGAGTCGAAGTCAGTCGAGGATAATTGTAAAACACGCGTGAATGAGTTGAGTGAGCGAGTGAATGAGTAAACGAGTGAGTGAGCGACTGAATGAGTGAGTGAATGATAATAAGTGAGTGAGTGAGCGACTGAACGAGTAAATGAATGAGTGAGTGAATGAGTAAACGAGCGAGTGACCGAACGACCGAATAAGTGAATGAGCGAGCGAGCGAGCGAGTGAGAGAGAGAGAGAGAGAGAGAGAGAGAGAGAGAGAGAGAGAGAGAGAGAGAGAGAGAGAGAGAGAGAGAGAGAGAGAGAGAGAGAGAGAGCGCGAGAGAGGGTACGTGCAGGGGAGGAGCCGGCCTCGGGTACGGCCTCAAGAATGGGCACACGGCGGCTAGATTTCGGGGCTACTCGGGGCTATGGGCGGTTCCTCACGTGGCCCGAGTGAGGCGAGAGTCATTCCGTTGTTTTGTGGGGCGATGGCGGTGGAATGTTCAGCGGGGGGAGGGGGAGGGGAGGGGGGAATTGAAGTAGTAGTAAGAGAAGTAATCGTAGTAGTAGTAATAGTCGGTAGTAAGTAGTAGTATAGTCGTAGTATAGTAGTAGTAGTAACGTA